GGAGAGAGAGCAGTTAAAGGGGGAGGAGGGAGAAACAGTCGGAGAGAGAAGGAAAGAGGCAAAGAGAAGAGAAAGAACAGAAAAAGGATGAGGTCAGAGAGAGCACACAGAGGCTGGCAGGGAAGACAGCAAGCAGGAGAGAGGGGCCACACGCAGAGCAGTGAGGGAGGAGGAAGGGGCCCCTCTCAGCCTCCCCCACGCACACACTGGGGGCCTGAGCTGCCCGGCCTGGCGGGATTCTGGCCATAGCGGGGACTGCCTGCCCCAGGAAGCCGGCAGCCCTGTGGCCCCCTTCAGGGCCCCAGCTGCTTCTCCAGGGCCCTGCAGGCCCCTCCTGCTAAGGGGTGGTGTCCTCGCCCTGCCCAGAAGGTGGGGTCCCTTCTCCCGCCCCGCAGGCAGCACCCGTCACTCAGCAGCTCCTCACCTCCCGAGGCCTCAGACGGTGCCCAGAGCCCGCTGCCTGCCCGGGCCTGCCCTCCCTCTGCTCCTCGTCCTTCCCACCTAACCAGCTGCCCTCGGACAGCAGCTCTTCCTTTCCCCCAAAGAGAAACTGCTCCCAGGCCGAGCAGAGTGGCGGGGGCAGCAGCTGTGACTGTGTCCCCTGCACGCGCTCCCTGACACCGCACGAGGGGTGGAGCAGGCCTCAGGATGGGCTGTCTGCGTGCAGGACACCAACCTGCGGCCGCCTCTCAGGGCCCGCTGGGCTGCCGCGTCTGAGCGGGACATGCAGAGCCGGCAGGCCTGGTCTCTGGAGGGGGCTGCCGAGCTAGCAGGTCTACCCCACCCACACACTTTCCTACACGGTCTCAGAGGAATCTGAGCCCAAGAAAGGTGTGTTGAAGGAATAATGAAAAGGGTGGAAAGACAGAGAGAAGAAAGAAAAACAGGAAGGCACAGGGGCCTGGCAAGAGCGTGGTTGTGATGCCTGGCAGAGTCAGACTACGTTGGATCCTGGCCCTGCCTCTGTCTGCCTGGATAACGCTAAGCCATTTGCTTACGCCTCTCTGAACCTCACTTTCCACGTCTATAAAATGGGAATATCATAGTAAAAGCCAGGTGTGGTGGTTTACATCTATAATCCCAGCTACTCGGGAGGCTGAGGTGGGAGGATCACTGCATCCCAGGAGTTTGAGGCTGCAGTGAACTGTGATCGCACCACTGCACTCCAGCCTGGGAGACAGAATGAGATCCTGTCTCTAAAAAAAAAAATCATAGTAAGGATTCAGTGAGATTATACATATAAAGTGCTTAGAGCAGGATCTGACCCATAGGAAACGCCCCCCCACCTGCAGCTCATCATGTTGATGAAAAGCCAAGGCCTTGTATTATAGAAAGACACGGAAGCAGTGAGGAAGGGCCTGCACGGGTCCCAGGGGTAACACACGTCCCCTGTGACAGGCCAGGCGGCCTCTGCAGAGCAGTGGGAGTCAGGCAGGGACTGTCAGGCCCGGGCCGTGACAATGACATTCACCTTTCTGCCCAGCTCTGCCAGTCGAACTCTATCTGCCACCAGGGCTTCACTTTAGCGGAGAATCAAGACGTCGAACAAGATGAAGTCTGTGGCACTCCCACAGAATTCCACGCACAGTCCAACCAGACCCGACGACTGCTGGGAAACCTTCACGTTTCATGAAGGTGCTTCACAAAGGAAACAGATTCTTGGAATTGAAGGCAGCGATCACCAGAAACCAGCTCCAGTTCACTAAGAACAAGGAACACCGGCACACGGGAGGAGAGCCCTGGGACGGCAGGAGACACATCTGCGTATCGCGCATTGCATACACCCGGAGCACTGTGGGCGCACAGCAAAATGCGTTACCGTGAACTTGGGAGTTGTCCTCCAGGAGTACACACCTGCCTGCTCCGTTCAACACTGGCTCAAATGGCTGCATGAAAACACACCTGGTCCTCGGTGGCCGTCTGAACAGTTGTAACATATGAACATAAAACCAAGCAGATGAAAATGAAAAAGACTCACTCCGTCAGCCGGCATGGAGGTTTTCTGTTGCTGTCCCCTTAAGTTGTACGCATGCTGGGGTGGCTCTAGCTTAACAGCTGTTTGCGTGAAAACAGCCTCATGATGTCATCTGTCCTCAAACTCAACAGCGACAACTCTGCTGTGACCAAACGTGCACCCTTGGCTGCTGTAGCTTCACCTGTGCTGGGGTGGGGACGGGGATGTGTTTAGGGAAGGAATGACTCTCTGGCAGGGAGGACACAGACCTAGGCTGGGATTCTGCAGGCAGCATGAAGCCCAGTCCTGTGATGGGGGGACAGAGGGAGCAGGGGCACCCCGGACAAACAACCAGGCTGCAGCAGGGACAGGGAGGGGCCGGACTATGTATGGCCTCGGTGTTGGGCCTCTGGCTGCAAAGAGGAGGGTTGGCTGGGTCAGAGGACAGGAGGAGGCCTTGTAAGGTGCAAAATCAAGACCCCACAGGGTGGATAGGGCCAGAAAGGAGCCGATTTTGGCTGGGGGTCGTCATCAGTTTTCTTAAAACTCCCATTCATTCCTTCCAGGTGCTGGGGACACAGCATGCAACAGGACAGTCCCAGCTACGCCCAACCTTCCAGCTGTCCCCACCAAGGTGCCAGTGAAGCCATCTCCGATCCCCAGGGTCAGCTCCTCTGTCCGCTAAATACCACCAAGTAACCTCAATCAATGCCACATGGAGCAGAAGAATCACCCAGCCAAGCCCTGCCCTGACCCACAAAATCACAAGATATAATAAAACTGTTGTTGCTTTAAGCCACTAAGTTTGGGGGTATTTGTTATGCAGCCATGGTAACTGGAACAGACCTCATCCAAGGAAAGAGTGTGGACAGAGATATGACACTGTCACATTTAGAGGTTGTGTGCAAAGGAGGAGCCTGCAAAGGAGTCAGAGATGGAGCAGTCAGGGAAAGGGGAGGACCCGGGAAAGTGTGGCTCTCCAGAGGGAAGGGCCCTGCTGGTGCAAGCACACTGAGTCAAGGCCCCAGGGAGAGACGCTATACCCAGATTTTACTTCAGGAAGAGAGAGAGATGGAGGGGAAAGACAGGAGTCCAGTCAGAATGAATTAGGGAAAGAATGAAAGATAAGGACATGGAAATAGAGACCACAGAAATCTCTTGCCAAAATTCATGTGGGAAGGGGGAGCAAAGAAACAAGGCAGTAGTTGGAATGGGATGTGGGAACAGAGGAGGGGTTTGTTTGCCTAGAGTGTAGGAGATTGTTACAGCTAGTGGGACAGTGCCAGTAGGAGGGGTCCCACCAAGCCAGAGAACTGCCTACAGGACAGGGGCTGTCCCAGTTTGCTTTCCCAGAAGCTCAAAGATCCCTTTTAAGAAATCTATGGCTGTGGCCAGGTATGGTGGCTCACGCCTGTAATCCTAGCATTCTGGGAGGCCAAGGCCAGAGGTTCACTCAAGTTCAGGAGTTCGAGACCAGTCTGAGCAAGAGCAAGACTCCGTCTCTACAAAAAGATAGAAAAATTAGCCAGGTGTGGTAGCATGAGCCTGTAGTCCCAGCTACTTGGGAGGCTGAGGCAGGAGGATCACTTGAACCCAGGAATTTGAAGTTGCAGTGAGCTATGATGATGTCACTGCACTCTAGCCTGGGCAACAGAGAGAGACTCTGTCTCCAAAAAAGAAAAAGAAATCCACGGTTACCATTTATCATACACATACTGTGTGCCAGGGCTAGTCCTTGGGGTCCTTTAATTCTCAGCTCCACTCTAAACAGGAAGCCTCACTCCTCATTTTGCAGATGAGGAAAAGGAAACTCAGACCAGGAACAAGGAAGGGTCTACCCAAGGACACCTGGCTAGCAAAAGGCAAAGTGGAGACTGGACTTGGGTCCTTCTGACTCCAGAGCCCGGCGGGGGTGCCACAAGGGGGACACCAGCTGGAAGGATATCAGATCCCCTAGCCCACGGGGCCTCTGAGAAAGAGCCTGCCACTCTATCACCTCTATCAATCAGTTGGGTCCCCGCAATCCTGCCTTAGGCAATACGGAAAAGAGCTCCCTGGGGAGCTGGTCTCCAACCTGTGGCTCCACCTGGGCTGTGAGGTCTCCCAGGTGAATGTCCCACCCACCCCCCAATGGCACAGCACAGCCACCACTCCCCAGCCAGAGGAGGGCCTGGCTGAGAACCAGTTTGCCAGTGAGACAGACACGCCTTCTCCTGGCCTTGCCACCTGGAAGCTCTACTTTTATCTTCAAAAGCAAAGGTAAGGCCGGGCGCGGTGGCTCACGCCTGTAATCCTAGCTCTCTGGGAGGCCGAGGCGGGCGGATTGCTCGAGGTCAGGAGTTCGAAACCAGCCTGAGCAAGAGTGAGACCCCGTCTCTACTATAAATAGAAAGAAATTAATTGGCCAAATAATATATATAGAAAAAATTAGCCGGGCATGGTGGCGCATGCCTGTAGTCCCAGCCACTTGGGAGGCTGAGGCAGAAGGATCGCTTGAGCCCAGGAGTTTGAGGTTGCTGTGAGCTAGGCTGATGCCATGGCACTCACTCTAGCCTGGGCAACAAAGTGAGACTCTGTCTCAAAAAAAAAAAAAAAAAAAAAAGCAAAGGTAAAGTGGGGACCAAGAAGACTCAGAGGCCTGGGGGCCTTCAGGGTGGGGTGGAGGGGTGCTGGGAGCCATGCTGTGCTCCTCCCCCTCTGGCTCCCTGCAGGGAAAGGAAAAGCCATTTAATCTTTGGGCCCCTTCCTCTTCTGCCTGCTCCTTCCCCATGTCCCTGTCCTCAAAGCCTGTAGGCACCGCTTGCGCTGCTAAACTTACCTTCTCTGTGTAAATGCCAGTTCAGTATGGTGGTAACTGCCTGGCACAAAGCAGGCACAAAGCGGGGAAGGGGGCTCATCAAGAACCAGCCAGTCTTCTGGCTCCCAACCTCCCGACCTCCCGTTTGTACCCTCACTGCTGGGGGCTGCATCCCTGAGAAGAAAGAGAAGAGGAGCTGGGTCTCTCCCCACCCCACCCCCAAGGGGGCAAAAGAAAGCTTACACCCACCTGGTCCAGCTCAGCCCAGGAGTCCTGCCGGAAACCAGAGGCTGCTTTAGATACACTCCGGGCCACTCCCCCTTCCCAACCTCTGACCGAGTCCAGGGCCACACCCGGGCAAGGCCACACCCCCAGAGCAGATCACAGGTCTCAACGATGGTCGCCCCTGGGCCACAGCGCAGCAGCTGCTTGACGGCCTGTGACTCACCGGGCTTCTGGACAACCACACAAGGTCAGGCACGTACAGCGCTTTCTAGACTGTAGAGTGGGTGTGCACATGAGGAGATAAGCAGCTCCTTGAGGACCGGGACCAGGTCGCATTCTCTCTGGAGTCCCAGTGCCACACCATAGGTTTGTGAGTGCCTGCTATGTTTCAGGCCTTCTAAATGTGCATTATATAATGGCTTTGCATGCATAGTATCTTTTAACCCTCACAAAACCCTGTGAGGGACAATTGTCCCTCTTGCACAGAAGAGGAAACCGAGGCAGGAGTTATCTAAAGGACTTGCCAGGGAGTGACGGAGCTGAGCTTTTGCTTTTCTCACCACCAAAGCTACTTCCTCTCACTGCGCTGCCTCTCCAAAACTATGCTAAATATCTCATGTCTAGTGACGTTAATTAGTTAATGTATGATTTCTGAAGCAGTGCCAGGCAGGATGTTCATAGTACGTGGACGAAGTGGCCAGGGAGAGTGTCCTCAGAGGTCACTGCCAAATTCCCTCATCATTTCCTTGTGGAGCTGGCTCTTTCCCACCTCTCACCTACAGGTGCGTCTGCCTGGACCATGCTGCCTAGCCCAGAAAAGCTTTCAAGGCCAAGCTAACTCATCACCTCCTCCAGGGAGCCTGCCCTGACCTACAGGCTGGTGAGCAGCTACCTCAAGGTTTCCCTCTGTCACAGCCTGGCCACACTGTGCTGCCATGGCTAGTTTGTAACTCTCTCTGTCTCTCCATCAGCCGAGGAGCACCTGAGGACAGTTCTAGTCTGGCCCATCCCTGTGTCCCCAAAGTGCCAGATGCTGATCCTTTACATCTCTGGTTAGATGCACCTCCTACCTGCAAGGACGTTGCTCCCGGGAATGGCGGGAGCACACAGGCCTTCACCCGGGGAGCTGGCAGAGGACCCGGCCAGCAGCACCATCTGTCCCTGGAGCCCCAGGACAGAGCAGGCACAAGACAGAGGTGTCAGTTCCTCTTCTTAGCCAGGTCGGCCCAGGACAAGGAGAGAAGCCACAGCATCCAGGGCCCTTGCCCAGCTGGAGCTTGGGCTCAGACAAGCCTTTGAATTCTCTAACTAGATCAAAGTGACTTCACCCCAGAGCCTTGGTTTTCTCATCTGTAAAGCCAGATGAATTCCAGCAGCCTTGCAAAGCTGTTGCGAAGTTTAAATATGCCTGACACTTAGTAGGTCAGGGTAGGTACTCAACAGAAAAGTTTGCTTTTACCATCTCATTTGACCAACTGACCCCGCCACTGAGCCACTGAGAAAACTGAAGCCCACATGAGATTAAAAGAAAGGAAGGAATATTTGCCATAGACAATTATGTGCCAAGTTCTACACTTCTTCGGTGTCTCTAATCCTGCCAATGATTCAGCAGAAACAGACCTAGTTCACAAGAGGAAACAGGCCTGCAGAGGCAAAGTGAGTTAGCGTCTCTAAGGCCAGTCTCTGGATCCTTCCCACTGTCTGGCAGAGCGGTGGGCAGCCCTCTAAAGGCTCCAGGAATGCCAGCTTGGCCCTGCCACCACCCTAGGCACAGGTGAGGGACAGGTGTGTGTGGTGGGGCCATCTTGCATCTGCACTGTCTGTGTGACAGTAGGCACAGACGGCTGGGGGGTGGGGTGGGTCCTCATGCGCAATGCACCTGTCTGGGTGCACAGAGGTTGCAGATGGCTCCCTGGCCAAGACAAGGGATGGAAAAGGGGTCCCAGGCCAGCAAGTGGGGGCTCTGAGTCTCTTGCCAGCTGTATAAGCCCAGGCCATCATCTCACCTCCCAGTGCCTCATCTGCACGATTGGTACCGTCTGTGAGCCAAGGGGTGAATGGGAAGGCAGCGGGGACCATCAAGGTGCTGGCCATTCAGAGAGCAGGAGCCAGGATGATGCGTTTCCCTGGGTTGCTGAGCTCGGTGTGCAGGGACTGCACATCTTGGCACTAAGCCTGGGGCCAGAGAGCCCTTACGGAACGCATAGCCTAGTGGGCAGGACCACACAACCCACAGCACTCCAAACCCCAAACTCAGCTTACGAGGCCTGGCCCCTCAGCCTGCTGTACCTCACAGCCTCGTCTCAGCCTCTTGCAGCTATTCTGCTGCCTGCTCACTATGCTCCGAGTCACATGAGCCCCTGTGCAGCAGCTCAGATGCACCAAGCCCTCCTACCCGGGAGCCTGCAAACAAATGCTGTTCCCTCCACCTAAAATGCTCTTCCCACAGAGCCTCCCATGGCTGCCTTCTTCTCAGTGGCTACTGCTTAGCTGTCTCCTGCTCAGAGGTCTCCCCCGGCCTCTCTTACCATCCTTTCACAGTTCCCTGTTCTCCAGACAGCCTGAATTTAGTCTCAGCAATGCCACTTACTAGCTGTGTGGCCTCAGGCAAGTTACTTAAGCTCTCTGTCTCCATTTCATTTTTTTTAATTGCTTTATTATTTCTTTAGAGATAGGGTCTCACTCTGTTACCCAGGCTAGAGTGCAGTGGTGCAATCATAACTCACTGCAGCTCCAAACTCTTGGGCTAAAAGGATCCTCCTACCTCAGCCTCCCAAGTAGCTAGGACCACAGGTGCACACCACCACAACCAGCTAATTTTTTTATGTTTTGTAGAGCTAGGGTTTCCCTATGTTGCCCAGGCTGGTCTTGAACTCCTGGCCTCAAGTGATCCGCCCTCCTCGGCCTCCCAAAGTGCTGGGATTACAGGCATGAGCCACTGCACCTGGCCAATATTATTAAAATGTCCATACTATCCAAAGCAATTTACAGATTTAATGTAATCCCTATCAAAATTCCAATGACACTCTTCAAAGAAATGGAAAAACAATCCTAAAATTTGTATGGAACAACAAAAGACCCCAAATAGCCAAACCAATCCTAAGCAAAAAGAATAAAGTTGGAGGCATCACATTACCTGATTTCAAAATATGCTACAAAGGTATAGTAACCAAAATAGCATGATACTAGCATAAAAGTAGAGACACAGACCACTGGAACAAAATAGAGAGCCCAGAAATAAATCCACACATTTACAGCCAACTGATTTTCAACAAAGTTGCCAAAACACATATTGGGGAAAGGACAGTCTCTTCAATAAATGGTGTTGGAACAACTGGATATCCAAGTGCAAAAGAATGAAATTCGACTTTTATCTCTTACCAGATACAAAAATCATCTCAAAGTGGATTAGAGACTTAAATGTAAGACCCCAAACTATGAAACTGCTAGAAGAAAATATGAAGGAAACGTTTCATGACATAGGTCTGGGCAATGACTTTGGAATATGACCCCAAAAGCAAAGACAGCAAAGGCAAAAATAGACAAATGGGAGTATGTCAAACTAAAAAGCTTCTGCACAGCAAGGGAAAGTCAACAGAGTGAAGAAACAACCTGCAGAATGGGAGAAAATATCTGCAAACTATACATCTGACAAGGAGTTAACATCCAAAATATACAAGAAACTCAACAACTCAATTGCAAAAAAAAATACAAAAACAAAAACAAAAAAATGCTATTAAAAAACAGACAAGGCTGGGCGCTGTGGCTCACGCCTATAATCCTAGCACTCTTGGGAGGCTGAGGCAGGCCTATCATTTGAGCTCAAGAGTTCCAGACCAGCCTAAGTAAGAGCAAGCCGCATCTCTACTAAAAAATTAGAAAGAAATTAGCTGGACAACTAAAAATATATAGAAAAAAATTAGCCGGGCATGGTGGCACATGCCTATAGTCCCAGCTACTCGGGAGGCTGAGGCAGAAGGGTCGCTTAAGCTCAGGAGTTTGACGTTGCTGTGAGTTAGGCTGACACCATGGCACTCTAACCCAGGCAACAGTGTGAGGCTCTGTCTCAATAAATAAATATGTTTTTAAATAGGGAAAAGACCTAAATAGGTATTTCTCTAAAGAAGACATACAGATGGCCAACAGGCCATGAAAAAATGCTCTGCATCACTAATCACCAGGGAAATGCCAAAACCACAATGAGATACCACCTCACTCCAGTTAGGATGGCTATTAGCAAAAACCAAAAGATAGCATGTGTTGGTGAGGATGTGGAGAAAGGGAGCGCTTTAACACTGCTGGTGGGAATGTAAATTGGCACAGCCACTATGGAAAACAGTATGGAGGTTCCTCAAAACATTAAAAATAGAACTACCATATGATTCAGCAATCTCACTTCTGGGTATATATATCCAAAGGAAACGAAATCAGTCCGTCAAAGAAATATCTGCACTCCCGTGTTTATTCCAGCACTATTCACAATAGCCAAGATATGGAATCAACCTAAGTGTCCCTCAACAGACGAACGGATAAAGAAAACGTGGTACAGACACACAAGGAACATCCTTGTGTAACACAATATACACAAGGAACATCCAGCTATAGAAGAGAATGAAATCCTGCCATTGGCACCGGCATGGATGAACCTGGAGGACATTGTGTCAGGTGACATAAGCCAGGCACAGATAAATACCACATGACTTGACTCATACTTGGAATCTTAACAAGTTGATCTCCTAGAAGTGGAGAGCATAATGGTGGGTACCAGAGGCTGGGGCTGCTCGGGGAGGGGGAGATCTTGGTGGAAGGCGCATAGTTACAGCCAGGTAGGAGAAATACTTTTCAAGAGATCGATTGTACGGCAAGGTGACTACAGTTAGTGATGACATTGTATTCTTGAAAAGTGTAAAGAGTGGCTGTTATGTGCTACCACCACAAAAGTGAAAACTATGTGAGGTCATGCATTTATTTGTTAATTAGCTAGAATTAACCATTCCACAATGTATATATACTTCAAAACATCATGTTGTACATGATATGAACATAATGTTATCTATCAACTTAAAAAATAAAATAAAAAATATTTTTAATTAAAAAAAAGAACTAGGAGAGTACTCCAGACACCCTCCAGAGTAAGGATGTCTGCCCATGGCTGAGATGGGTTCACATGTGGCTTCTGAACAGGCTGCTGCTGAGAGTTCAAGCAGCTCGCCTCTTCCTCCAGGAAGCCTTCCAAGACCACCTCAGCCTCCTTCTGAGCACCCATCATGACTCATTCATTCAGCAGGTTTTTTGCTCCTACTATAGACAGGCACATTGTTTTCTATCTATGTCTCCCCTCAAACACACCTTGGGGCCTTTGAGGGAGATGGGCCCCTGCCTCTCACCGGCAGGACCAACCTCAAGGTAAGTGTACAAACTCCCACAAACATCTGGACCCCAGGATGTCCAGGCCAGCTGGGACCCTAGAGATCACCCCACATACTGAGGCTCAGAGTGCGGAACACCCGGTCCAAGGTCACACCATGGCTAATGGGGTGAACATAAGATTCTAATCCCATTGCTGTCCCCCAAACCTCCCACACTCTGGGCTGGACCCCAGTGAGGCTGGGGAGGTTGGGGGTGGGGAGGAGCCCCTCCAGCTGCCCTCAGGTTCAGCCTGGAGCAGCGTGTGGGTCTGTGGGTGCGTGAGCACATGCACAGACCCTCAGCTGTTTCTGATCTTCCACCACCCTGCTGGTGGCACTACCTGGGCACGGGGCTCCTCGGGGGAGTTGGGACAAACAGCCCCATCGCCATTTCTGGAGTGAATAAAAACAGTTCCTGAGCCCCACTGGGAGTGGGCCTAGGCCGGGCTAGAACTGAGGCTGAGCAGAGATTCTGAGATTCCCCAGGAGCCACGCCAGCCTCCCACGAGGGTCCCTGCCAGCTCCGGAGTGCGGGACTCAGTACCCAGGGTGGATTAACACCTCAGACAGGGAAAGGAGAAGACAGCTCCTGTGGGAGAGGCGAGGACTGAGACGGGACAGGGACTCCTTTCCAGCAGCACCGGACAGGCACGCAGCACCCCTCCCGCCCAGCTTGGCAGCAGACTCACCGCTTCATTCATTCACTCGCTCACTCGCGTATGCCCAGTGCTTGCTGGGCGCCCGGCGGCGAGGAGGAGCCAGAACCGTCGGACTCCAGGGCTCACTCAGTCTGCAGTGTCACAGGACACTGGAAAAGGCCCATCCATGCACAGCAGAGCTTGTGGGTTATCTGAGACCCCTGCCCCCGCCCCTTCGGTTCCCTCGCTTTCTTTAGTCCCCAGTGAAGACAGTTTGGTGGGGACTGTTGGTTTGCTTGGTTTTTGTCAAAAACAGCTTTGGGGCTATGTGCTCACACCTATAATCCCAGCACTTTGAGAGGCCGAGGCGGGAGGATTGCTTGAGCCTAGGAGTTCAAGACCAGCCTGGGCAACATAGCAAGACCATGTCTCTACAAAAAAATAGAAATATCAGCCAGGCCTGGTGGCGCATGCCTGTAGTCCCAGCTACCTGGGAGGCTGAGGCAAGAGAATTGCTTGAGCCCAGGAGTTTGAGGTTGCTGTGAGCTATGATGATGCCACTGCATTCTAGTCCAGGCGACAGAGCAAGACCCTGTCTCAAAAAAAAAAAAACAATTTTGGTACCAAAGCAGAAAATGTTCTCAAACCCTCCTGTATTCCAGAGGGACTAAGGGAATCTAAGGGGAAGCAAGGGAAATTCAAGGACATCTGCCATCCAGGCAATGGTCCAAAGGTGGCAATCAAGGTCAGAGTGTTCTTAGCTGACATGAGGTCACTTGTGTCCTCATGAGCCCCACCGCTACCCCCGACAGCCACCTCTACCCCAGACTCCATGGAGGCAGTGCAGGGAAGCTGAATGCCAGCTGGGCTTGGGGTCAGGACCCATGGGCTAGACTCCCACTTCTGGGCCTTCATCTGGCTGAGTCTCAGGTTCCTTAAGAGCTCAAACTCTGCAGCTGGACAGCTGAGTTCGAATCCCAGCTCTGCCACTTCCTACCAGTGTTATCTTGGGCAAGTCACTCACCCTGAGTCTTAGATTCCTTATCTGGGATATGCGGATGATGAGTCACCTACCTCATAGAGGTCTGAAGGAGTTAACACATGCAAAGAATCTGGCATGGTATCTAGCACAGTCAGAGCTACACTAGGATTTGTTATCACTGTTCTCTGTTAAGTTGTGATGAGGATAGTCCCTCCCCCGCTGCCTTGCCCCCAGTTACTGATGAAGGGTAAGAGTCATGAGGGGTTAAACACTATGGGGCACAAGAGAAGACACAGGCAGCCCCACCCACCTGGAAGACACTCTCTGCCCTGCACTTAGGTGACAAGAGCAAGTGGCCCTGCTACCCAGGTCCCACCCCCAGCCTGTTTCCACTCATTCGTTAGGCCTGGGCCTGGCCACGCCATCCCTGTGCTGAGAACATCAAGCACAGCCGCGTGGGGCTCACTGGCTGCTGGGAGAGAGGGACGTGCAAGTTGAGCACACAATGCGTCGTGAGGCGTGAGAAGGGACTGACACTGGGGCTCATGGCACCACAGGACATCTGGGCAGGCTTTCCAGAGGAGACAGCACCTGCACTGAGACCCGAGTGCTCAGAG